TGTTCTCTTGTTTGATTACACCTTAATCAGATTACTCTTGGGTTAGTGATTAACCTGAATTTAAGAATTTGGAAAAATCTTTGAAATCATCGAACTATCAGTTATGCTATCTACCTTTAGCTACCAAATGGTTAAGGATTGAGTTTGAGCTCACATTTTAGGCTCTGATCAATCAGTAGATAAAAGCCTCTGGAGTATAATTTACTATGTCTAATGAATCGTTATAGATAATGAATCATTATTCGTAGCACTATATTAGATGTTAGAGGTGCTCTAACATGTTAGGACTTGAAGTGTGAAGAAAACGACATGGAGCTGGACATGCAGCCAAAGACATGCTGTCCTTGCTCTGTGCCGTAAAGAACAAGCCAGCAGTGGTGGGAAAGCACAGGCACATTAGTATACAACACTGGTACATGCTTACGACCTTTTTGTTATGGTCATGGACATGTGTTGGTGTGACTTGAAGACCTGGACTTGTTTCTGCACACAGACTTCAAACTCATCACCATTTCCTTCTATTCTATTTCTATTCTTAAATCACCAGTACTCACAGCTGCTATATTTCATGAGTACTAACTATATTTTAATAACCAAATGAAAGGAAAAGTTATTATCTTGTCTCCTAAATCTCTGCATCTGACCAGAACAGATTTATATGGGGTCTTCTAAAGGTAGAATCATGTGAATGGTTGATGGGTGTTTCTGGAAAGTACCTGATGGAGAGAATTTCATGATACTCCTCGACATTTTAATCTCACATAATTATCCTGTAATAATTAGAAGGTATTTAACACCGTCACAAGGCTGGAGGGCATAAGGAGAAAGTTTTTTCCTAGTCTCACACACACAGGCATGCAGAGTTTTTTTTTATTATGATGTGGGTTAGAAGGCACTGCTCAGAACAGTGATGCATGGTAAAGAGTAGTGTGGAGAGGAACTGAACTTACAGTAGAAGGTAAAATATTTCAGAAGAGCACATAAATTTGTACAAACCAAACATAGAAAAAATAAACTATTCATTCTTATTTGAGATATTGCTGAAAAACTAGGCACTCAGATCCATGGAAAAGGTATTTTAAAATGCAGACATTACTCTCATTTCACCTCACCCCTTTCCTGAAATAAACATATGCTTTATAGATCTAATTAAATTCTTTTCAGGTGAATTAAAAAAAAAAGTATAAAATTGCTTCCAATAGTCTTTTTGAAACTTTATTTCCAATGGAACTTGTGAAGAATTCCCAACAAATTCAATAGCACTTGTCCCAAATAATATAGTGCTGAAAATTGACTCATAATCTCTTCTAGATGTAAATGTAAAACTATAACTCATATTTTCTTCAAACTCAAAATGAACAAACCCGCAGTAATGTCTATCACAGTCACCAGTGACCTCTCAGAACATTTATTTCAGCTCAGATGAATAAGGAGTTTAATGATGGTATTTCTGAAATGGGATTTTTTTCTCAGCGGTGCTAAGATTTACCAGTAGTATTCAATAGGTTATTTCCAAAAGTGAGGAGAAATCCTATCTTTGAACTCAACTGAAACTTGAATGAAGTTACTCATAGGAGCTGAATGTGAAGGGGTTATGATAAATAAGGAAACTATATTCCCATAGATGTCTGCTGAGACCAAAATAAAAATGGATTAGAATGATTATAAGATTTAAAAATTATGCATATTACATTAAACTCATATTAATATTAGAGATACTTCTGCTGTTGCTCAATTTTTTAAAAGTTGTGAATCATTTGAAAAGATGAACAATATGTGCATATGTTAGCTTTTATGGTGGATTTTATGAGTTTTCTAGAACAGTCACATAATTTTACTCTTTCACATCCTTGCTCTGATATATTTCATTCTTTAATTTTATTCTCACACAAGTCACAGAGGAGAAATAGGTATAGATATATTTTTATTTCAGATGTAAAATTCATACCTCACTTGTAAGTTATGCAAGGAAAATAAGAAGCTTCATTAAACAGAACTACAAGTTGTCTGCGAATAGTGGTTTGCAGTTTGGGAGTACTTTCCTTTGAAATCATTAAATCTACACAGCTACAGTAATTTTAACTCCTTGAAAAACTCCACTTACTACTTCATACTGATGAAGAAAAAAGTGAGTTGTTTTAAAATATGTTTCCTAACATCCCAGAGAAGAAGTTTCCTCTGTATTTACTGTGTTATACACATTTATTTTCTGTAGCACACATGAAAGCAAATTTTAAAAAAAAAATACTTAAATGCAATCTAAAGGAAATTTTCTAAATACATGAATTTCAGAGTAATCTCGTAAAAGCTAAATGAGACAGCTTTCACAGTTTATAATGTCCTCACTGTTTTTCAGAAATATACACTATGAAAAAATTCCACTGATCAGTTCTATTCAGCATAACCAGCTTTCTTCCATGACAATAGAGCAAAAGCATCTTTGTCACTGATTTTACTGGAAGTAGGGCTGAAGGGCAAATAAGCAATAATAGGCAACAAGCATGGCACCCTTATGGTGCCAAATACAGTGTGCCTGCACACCTATCACGTTCATAAAACAGCAGTTGCTGAGCAGTATTGCACTGTACCAGCATAAAGTATCCTTACTATGGACCTGTGCTGTGATCAATAATGATTAATGAAACACTTGCCTGGCCATGGTGGCTGTTTTGCAGCCAGCAATCATGACATAATTATATTCCATATAGAAAGAGGACAAGCTTATAAGGAGTTTATGCTTAAAGCTGAATCCAAAACAGGAGAGTTAGTTACAAAATCTTCAGAAAGTCACTCTATTAAGAGTATAAATTTTAATATTAAAGTGAAGTGTGCAATTAGAAATAAAATATGAGCACTAATAAATGGGGAAAAAATAAACTAGTATTGTTATTTGTACTACTTCTAATATATACAAATAGTTATCAAAGTATGGCAAATTGAAAGATGTAGCTAAGGATGTGAAAGGAATATCATAAGTGGACTAAGGCAATAATTTTTATTAGTGCATCAGAGGCAGATTGATTTTGATCTTTTAATTGAAAAGAATGTAAAATAGCTTCTAATAAGGAGCAAACTTTATAAATTAAACCCATACAAGCTCCACAGTACAGTCCTCATACCAAGCCTGCAGGAAATCAAAACCTGAAATCAGTCAACAAGAAAGTAATTTAAGATTAATAATGAGCAAAGTATCAAGCTTCTATGGGGATACAGTAGGGGCAAAAAAAGAGCTCATATGATCCACAACCATCTATAAAAAGAAAAAGATATATATGATTGGAGTGCTGAAGAAAGAGAGATCAGTCTGTTTTGCTCACTAAGGAAAAAAAAAAAAAAAAAAAAGGTGATTTGATTTCTATATATGTATTTCTTCCGTGGGGGACAGTGATAAAGCATAGAAGGTATTGTAGGGACTATGCCTCAGAGATGAATCCACACACACTGAAAATAAAGTAACTCGTGTCAGGTTAATTAATCACAGCAGCAAACTGATAAGGGAAACAATGATTGTCTTTTTCTGATATATTCAAATAAATAGTGGATAGCATTCCACATGAGACTATATGTTGGCCAAGAAACAAACTTTGTGAAGATAATTATGTTAATAAGCTCAATGAAATTCAGTGATTTGTGACATTCAGGAGATAAGATTAGAGAAACCTCCTGACCTCCAACTACAAGTCTGGGAATTTCTGAATCCCTGTCAAGCACTAGAATTTGGAGCATCTTGTCTGGAAGTTTGAGTACAACCGCAGTCACTCACTGCCTGATTTTAACTGGCTGAAGAATAGCTAGAGCTTTGCTCATGGTTGGTTGTCATGTCTGTATTTGTTGTGTCTCAAATTTGACAGCCTGAAATACTGAGGGAAAGGTGTTTTTTTTAATTCAACTTCATATAGTTGCAGCAAATAGAAGTTAGTAAGTGATGACAAAAAAATATAAGCTTTGAATTTGAATCTATATTTGAGTCTATGTCATGAAGTATTTTTCCCCATCTAAACTGCCACAGGATCCAACTGTGTTTATATCTAAGCTTAGACTTGAAAGCAATTCAAATACATACGAAATATTTTTTGAAAAACTATCGACGTGTAACAGTTACATTTTCTTTTATAATGTCCTCCAAGCTTCTTCTGGAATACCTGAAGCAGTCTGGTTTTCAGCTCACAATCAAGCATTTTATAATTACAGTTATTTTCTTTTTCCTTTTCTTCCCCCTTAAGTATCCACTGCCATATTTAGAGAAATGTATGTCTGTACCAAAAAAGCCCAATGGATGCACAACTGATGAGTGTTTGGGCTAAAAAGAATGAATGAGTGCAAACACTGTCTAGCCCATTTCTTCCCCCAGTGTGAATGCAAATGACAGTTTTCACATAGACCCATGAGGAATAGCAAGCTACAGTGAAAAGCCCTTCCACTCCTGTGAGCAGGCATGTAATGCTGTGAGTCAGAAATGGTAGTCCCATTAATAAATGCTTCTTACACAACCAGTTTTGTAACTTAAAGGATATTGCGCAGACCAAAACTTTGGTCAACTTAATTTATGCAAGATACAGTGGTACTGAAATCCCCTACCTAGATGGACTTATAACTTACTGATCTCTTGAACTGCAGTTTCATTGCAGGAAAATTGGGATGTGTTGGAATTTGCTAAATTCATCCAGGTTTTGAAGTCTTTATTTTCTTTTACCCATTCAGTGAAAGTGTTCGGGACTAAAGCACAGAGTGCTAAAGCTCTAGAGAGAGTATTTCAAGTGATTTACTTGATCTCAATAAAAACTTGGCCTCCCTTTTGGATGAAAGAGACACATTCCATGTAACAAACCATTTATTAAGGATTCCCTATAGAAAGTGAGGAATATCAAGCATTATATGAACCTTAATTGTGGTTATATTTTATTGCTGCTTAGATTATTAAATGTTTAAACTACCAGATAGCAGACTCTATAGTCTCAATAGAGGAAGAGTGCTAACAGTAATTTTACTAAATATTTCAGCCCTGTTCCAACAATCTCTTGGAGGAAAGTTAATGGTCATAATCCAAGTAAAGCCCGGCTGAGAAAATCCCAAGCTGTGCTTGAAATACCTAATGTGCAGCTAGAGGATGCGGGGATGTACGAATGTAAGGCTGAAAACTCTCGTGGAAGAAATGTCTTCAGAGGACAACTACAGGTGTACAGTAAGTGTAACTGCACACAGTTCTTATCCAGCAATGCTTTGTCCACACTTAAGACTTTAACTACACATGAAGGATGATGCTAACAACCAGGAGAAATTAAATCTCTTTCTTCTGAAATGCAATTAGTATTGAATTACACTATATATTTTTATTCCTTGGTAATGCGTTAAAGTCTGAATTATAAATAAACTTGACTGTCTCAAAGAACCGGCTTAAATACAATTTCATGTTTGATGTTCATGAGCTTTTTTTTTTTACCCACTATCACTATAATTTTAAAAGTATATTTTTTTTCTCCTGATATGATATATAATAATAACATGCAACCTAATCATGATGTATGTGTCAGGAAACAATATTAGAAATATTCACCTACTTCTTATCAATTAAAGCTACACCACTTGCTATCATTCCATGAATCCTACAAACGTAAATATTTAGCAGGAAAGGTCTACTGAAGGAGATCATACAACAAATCTTTCAGACTCTGAATCGTTTTCTGTCTTCAAATATTGCAGTCAGTGGAATTCCAACTGCTGCAGTTTAGACAGGTCCTCAGGCTAATAGATGCCTTTAAGAAGGAGTCTCTTCTGTTAGTCAATTTTATTTTTCTTTTCTTGATTTCAGCCCATGGCTCTTAGTGCTTTCTCCCCATTACTAACTATACACAGTTCTCTGTCTTTGTTACATACTTTCATCAAATAACCGTAGACTGGCATCATATATTTAGTTTATTTTCCACATATGTCAATATTTCCAGGTCCATAATCAATTTTCCTGTCTCCTCCAGCTTTCCAATATCTTTATCTTAGCTCCCTTGTTCTTGGTGAGTATCAGCATATCTCTGGATGAAAATTCTTTCCTTGCTTTTTGTTCTCATCCATCTAGAGCCAAGGGCAGGTTTTTGTCTTCAATTTTTTTTTTGGTATATACTGGAAAAAATATGTGACGGCAAAGGCAGTAGTTTGCACCTTTCGTTTTAGACATGTCATCCGTACTGCACTTGCAGCAAAGTTTTTATGAGGCTTTTACTGAAAACGGTAGTCAATGCCCAGGAATTACTTGATGCCTCCTACTACGCCAATAACCCAGTGGTATTTCTCCAGTATTATAAATTCTTATTATCAATTACTTCCATGAAAGTATAGCAGCTCCTGCTAGGGACCTGGGGGTGAGGGGCATTTAGCAGCATGCCTGGTCTTTGTCAACAATGTTTCTTAAAATGTCTGAAATGCAAAAAAAAAATTAATTTGAGTTATAAGGTGTACCCCAGCTCATACACTTACTAGCTGTTTTCTAGAGCTGTGAAACTACTAGATGCCAAAGCACCTTATAAAGGAGTTACAATTGTCTCTGCCTCCCTCTTTCAGAGTTAAAGGAATATAAAAGGTGCTCTTCAATAGAGAAACTAAGATGCTGGAAAAAGAAATTATTTCCTCAAGAGCACCCTGGAGACCTGTGGCATAAAATCACAGCAAATGATGTACTGTTCTACACAACTCTGCTTTCTTATTAGCCTGGACACATTTTTGTTTTGAACAGAAATACAGATGGTAGTCAAATCTAGGAGTCCATAGAAAACATTTTCTACGTCAGTTTTGTTCTACACTCTCCAGTTAGAAATAAGAATTTTTAGTTGTCCACCATTGTCAGAATTATATTTTTACAGTCACTGCCTTTATGGATAGTGCACAAATTGTGCTAGTTGGCATTTTTTGCAATAGTATTAGAACAACTTATTTAACATCATGGAAAGGGGGTCCACTTCACATTGTCTCATTCCTCTGATTAACAGACATATGAGACTAGTATATTATTAAGTTTCTCCTAAGTCTATTATTATCTGTTATATAATATAATAGTCTTATATTATATAAGTCAATTATATCTTACAAGTAAGGCAAAACCAGTTCTGAGTCAGTTTCACCTATCTGCATTACCAGGGAGCAAGGTCAGAGCAGGTAACCAAGGGCTCCCAGGTGGAGACCAGCAGTGACCTTCAGTACAGCAGAAAAAGAAGCACAAACTGTTGCTAGCCCCCTCCAAGTGCCTTTTCTTGGCCCTTGAGATGAAGGACTCCCCAGTGAGCCTCTCACAGCCTTCAGTGGTCCTGAAGACAGCATTAGTGCCTTATTGGCCTACAAACCTTGATTACCCTTTCCAGGGGTGTAAGAAAGCACGACAAAGTTTAGCCAAATGTCACTTTACAAAATTCTCAGCTTCCTTCACTGACAGCTGATATGGCAGGATTTGGGGGCATTACTTGAAACAGCATTTCCTGCTGTACTTCTTATTCATAAAAACAGTCAACATGAATTATTTACTTTTAAGCTCATTGTCTTTTCACTGACATCTTATTCCTCCAGGAGAAAACGATTATTTTGGCTCAGAAGTTCAGATGTAAGCCATCATTCCTTACCAAGGGTTTCTTGTAAAATTTCAGAGCAGGCTGTAGGACCAGCTGTGGCGTATTGCAGTCTCACAATTTGCATATCTCTGTAGGAACTCACTCGCTGTCTGTTTGAATCTTCTTCATTTCATCATTTGCATCTGATCTGGGTCACTACAGAGTACTTTGGAGAAAGCCCAGGATACCCAGTCTGCCTGTCTGGTCACATTTAATCACAAACTAGTGATTTTTTATTTCTTACCTGGTGCTGCAATTGAATGACTCTCTGATGTAGCTGATGCTTCAGATGTTGTTCAGAAAGTGGTGTTTCGGATGCTGACAATTTCAGATTGTTGTAGTCTCAGCACTTAGTGGAAATTCAGCTGTAGAAGTGACAAAGGCATTAAAAATAAAATTTTGATAATGCAAGACAGCCTTATATGCACTGCAAACTCTTGAGAAGTATGATTTTTTGCCAAGTGATCTGCTCATGCTGTAAGTTTCCATGAAATTTTATTCAAGCTCAAATTGATTAATAGAAGACAGCACTAAAATTTGAGAAAATTTAAGACAGCATTAAAATTTGGGTGGAGAAATTTGCCATTAAACTTTTGTAATGACATAGTGCCCTATGAGCATCACAGGTGCGGCAGCAGGAGGGGAGGTTTGCGGTAACACCAGAGTGGAACGAACAGCTGAAGGCAGGAACAGTCTGTACTGCAGTGTAATGGACCATCATGATTTTAAAAAAACATTTTAATAGCTTCCTTATAAAAACCATATGGAAGAAAATCCACTGCTGCCACTACAGGCTAACCCCAGATACATGTAGTAAAAGTGGCTAGAGAGGAAGAGATTTTTGTGGTCAGAATTGCAGCTTCAGTTGAAATTCACTGACTTATCTTTCTCACTGTGATAGCTACCTACTCTTCTCCTATTGTAGACTTCCCAATTGGCCTCATGTCCAGAAAATGAACTTTATTCACCCCAAATTCTGTTCTCATTCACATTTTAGGACACTATCCAAAGGCATTTGTCTATGCAAAATTTTGTCCTTAATTTCCTTTCAGGCAAAAAGTTTAATATTTTGAGAAAGTAGGCTGAGTTCTCTGCATCTGAATTTCATTTTGCATAGAGGATACAAAAACTGGCCTGTAAGCTTGCAGATTTATTGCCAATTTGTGTTTGTAAAACATTTTGACATCCTTGAATAAACAGGTGCAGAAATGCAACATAAAATAAATCAGGGATTGGACGGTGATTTTAAAATCTCAGAAGCACTGTATAAAGCTATAGCACAACATCCATGAAAACTACTGAATATTAAAACACATCCTCCTATTCTTACATTCACCCTAAAACTTTTCACTGGACAGATAAAAAACACGCAAACACCCTTTTTTTTCCCCCAAAGTGAATGTTGTATTTATAAAGAGAAAAAAAAAAGCTGTTATTTTTAAAATTTTTTTTAATGCTTCTTAGAATGTATATTTTCTAATTAAAACTAAGTGCAATTATGTAATGAAGGGGTTTTTGCCCGCATGTATATTAGGATCACATTTTAATAGCTTCCTTATAAAAACCATATGGAAGAAAATCCACTGCTGCCACTACAGGCTAACCCCAGATACATGTAGTAAAAGTGGCTAGAGAGGAAGAGATTTTTGTGGTCAGAATTGCAGCTTCAGTTGAAATTCACTGACTTATCTTTCTCACTGTGATAGCTACCTACTCTTCTCCTATTGTAGACTTCCCAATTGGCCTCATGTCCAGAAAATGAACTTTATTCACCCCAAATTCTGTTCTCATTCACATTTTAGGACACTATCCAAAGGCATTTGTCTATGCAAAATTTTGTCCTTAATTTCCTTTCAGGCAAAAAGTTTAATATTTTGAGAAAGTAGGCTGAGTTCTCTGCATCTGAATTTCATTTTGCATAGAGGATACAAAAACTGGCCTGTAAGCTTGCAGATTTATTGCCAATTTGTGTTTGTAAAACATTTTGACATCCTTGAATAAACAGGTGCAGAAATGCAACATAAAATAAATCAGGGATTGGACGGTGATTTTAAAATCTCAGAAGCACTGTATAAAGCTATAGCACAACATCCATGAAAACTACTGAATATTAAAACACATCCTCCTATTCTTACATTCACCCTAAAACTTTTCACTGGACAGATAAAAAACACGCAAACACCCTTTTTTTTTTCCCCCAAAGTGAATGTTGTATTTATAAAGAGAAAAAAAAAAGCTGTTATTTTTAAAATTTTTTTTAATGCTTCTTAGAATGTATATTTTCTAATTAAAACTAAGTGCAATTATGTAATGAAGGGGTTTTTGCCCGCATGTATATTAGGATGATGTTAACACAGTTTTGTGAAAAAAAAAAAAGAAGAGGAAAATCATACACTGAGTTAGAGGTTGTACATCCAGTTAAATGTATCCCTTTTCAAATTATCAACAGGGTTTAAGAACAAGTATTATAATATTATGGAGAGTGAACCTTGCTATTTAGCAGAGAGGGAATTCTCTGTGGCAAGGGAGTATATATAGAGAGGAAAGAAAGCCAGAAAGCAATGAAAATATTTTTCCCAATTGTGCATTTAGCTACATCTACTTATTGCTTTGCTACCTTGTTCTCAAAGCAGTGGGCATCTGAGTCATTGCCTTGGCTGATGGCAAGTTCAACAGCTTGAAAATTATTAATTCAAAGGCCATCTAGGCTATGAGGAGAAAACTTAGGGTAGAAATACTCCAACTAATGACAAAAAGGTTGTTAATATCAATCAGTCATAGCACTGTGATTTGCCAGTCTGTGGTTACAGAGGAAAACCTGTGCTATGACTGTGCTATCAAGACCGCCACAGACAGAGGTTAGGGAATGGCCATTGCATGCTGAGGCGAACACCTCTGCAGCCAGGCTTGGGGAGGGGGTTTTATTTCAGTGCAATATTTCAGGTGCACACCTTAATTCTGAACGCTCTGGTTCAAGATGAAATCAAATTCAACATAGAAAAATGAGACTAGATATGCTTTGGATCATGGTAGACATTTCAGAAAAGTAAAATAATAAAAATAATGAAATATAAATAGGAACAGTTTAGCGCCTCTTTGAAACTGCATGATTTTATGGTACCACTGGTTAACTTTTATGATTTTTTAGTTGTGCATTTAACTGTCACATCTTCCAAAATCATATTAGCGTACTCATTTTCAAAGAAACAATTGCTTCTCAGCATGCTTCCTTTGTGCATAGCAAAACACTCAAAAGAAAACAACGTCAACTATACAATGCTATTGAATTACATTTTTAGGACAATTAGTAGACAACAAGTGAGCAGGGACTACCACAAACCGTTTATGAGGATTTAGTGGGAACCTTTGATATAACTCAAGAATCAAGTGATTCAGCACAGAGGAGCACGTATGCGGGATGTCATGCATTACCTTGACTGCAAGAAAAATAAGGGAGCAGAAGTTTTTGGTCTTGGGTTTGGGAATGAGTTTGGGTCAATCTTATCTCTGTTTTCCTCTACGAAAGGGAAATGAGTGATTTTTTTTCTGATATGTTTCCAGCTTCTGACAACTGTCTGGTCAGGGACTCTGAAGCAGAGTGTTCTCTGCTTAGGAATGATAGACACCTCATTCACTTTCTTTATCATCCATGCACGAGATGTAAGCTCGAAGCAGTTAGTCACCTGTCATGCCTTTTCATATGTTCTCACGTCTTTGATTAGTGACCTGTCAAATGCCAGCTAGATTCAAAGATTTATTTTTAAACTCGGTTCCCCATGTTTAAGTACGTTATCAATTATCCGACATTTGAAGCAGAGACTTTGTTGTGACAGATCTGGACTTCTATTCACGTCAAGCAGAAGAACTTTACATTCCTTTAGCAAGGAAGGCCTTTTGGCTACTTATTCTCTACTATTTGAAAAAAAAAAAAAGAAAACCAACCCCAAATTTAATATAATTAAATTAATTAATTTCCTCTATCATCCTCATTGCTATACAAATTGATATGGCTACAGTATGAAAACCCAAAAGCTGGCTTTTAAGCATACATTTTTATTTCTGCATATGAATACTCAGTTTCTCATCGAGTCATACAAAGTTTTCCAAATTGTAAGGTCCTACATATAGTTTGGCTGATTGACTGCTGCATTAAAGATCTGCTTCTCTGCAAAAAACACTCTCTGCTTTTTAACAGATTATTACATGAAATTTAAGTACTAATGGTCACATATACTGCTAACAAATGTCTACCTTTAAAAAAGACTGTTTTAACACTGACTTACTGTGTAAATTATGTTTCTGATGAATGCTGGAAATCTCGTGGGTTCTGTGCTTAAAAGCACTAAAAGCATTTTCTCCCGTGAAATGTGAATTAAACCCAAGACACTTTAGCAAAAATATGTGCAAATACCTTACCAAATGCCTAGTCATTCTTAGCTGAATAAATCATGATTTCCTAGTAAACCAAGAAAACTACATGGAACAGAGTCTATGATGATTGACCTCATTACCAAAATTTAAATAGCTTAGGTCTTGAAAAGTTGCTAACTATTGTATTGTGACTACCAAGCAAATACTCTTAAATTCAGTAATAATGAATGCATTCGTATATAGTATTGTAACTTAATGCATTGAACTTTATTAAATCAGGCAGATTTTTATTCCTGGTCATGATACTGCTCACTGCCTGGTGCCATTACAGCATTTCCTTTAAAGTTACAGAGTTTTGTTAAGTTCATTACTTTCTCTTTCGGTTTTGGTTGTTTGTTTAAATGTGCTTCTTTCTGAGAGTAAGTTAAGCTTTGTAAAGGCCATAATTTAAGGCCTTTAACTGATTAGGTCTTTGCATATCAGCTAGAGACTTACCAGTTTATACGCTTTGTACATAGCACGGTATTTTTTTCTTGCAGCCTACCCACATTGGGTGGAGAAACTTAATGATACTCAATTAGACAGTGGAGATCAGCTCCGATGGGAATGTAAAGCCACTGGAAAGCCAAAGCCCACGTATCGTTGGCTGAAAAATGGAGTTCCTGTCTGGCCACAGGTACATTAGACAAGGAGTCGCCACTATGTTGCATGTTTCTCCTTTCATTCAGATAAAGTCAGTTAAAGATAGTACTAAAAAGTACTTCAGAAATTACTGTTTTCAGTGTTAGCTTAAGTGTTAATATACAGACAGGTTTTCTATGCATGTCCCCTCTGAACCATCTCAAGCAATGTCAAATTGCATTCATCAGTAATTCTCTGTAGTTCAGAAATATTTGGGAGACGGGATGTTCTGAGCTGTGTCTGCAACAGCATCTGCCATTGTACTATAATGTACCTCTAAGCAATCTCCAGTAGGGTGGTTTTGTTTCATTTTGGTTTTTTTTCTTTTAGAAAGTGGTATTATGTTATTGTAATTATTTTTTTTTCTGTATAAAAAAAAAGTAAAAACTCAGAGGAGTGCTGCATTTGCCAAATCAGATTCCTTCATATTTCCCCCAATGTTTATTATGTTATTTACCACATTTTGTTTGTACATAATCACACTCTTCAAAACACTAACAGGCTAATGTAAGAGACACAATAACTATTATATTTTCATCCATTTTCAACTCCATTAATTTTCTGCAAGTAAGAGAACTCACTATCCAGACCATTAAAGTGCTCCATGTAAGACGCCTAGAATGTAAATTCCTTAACTACAGCCACTTGATATATTTTAGAATTAGATCTAGATAAAATCCTCCTCCTTTTAAAAGACCACTCATGGCATGGCCTGCCTTTTAGTTCACTTTGTTCGGTTTCTCCCACTGAATCATCAACATGTAAGCTCACATCATGTGGGTCTTGGATAGCACCTTTACATTTTTAGAGTCTCAAATTATTTAAAGTAAAGAAAAGTTTTGCAAATTTGTTTCATGCATTTTTCCAGATTAAAATAAAGCTGTTCATTTCTGGGAGAAAATGTCTCCATTTGTAAATGAATTCACAGAATGGATTTATGAATATAAAAGATGTAATATCTTTCTTTTCAGTGAATGTCGCTTCTATCTGTGAACATCATCCAATTATGCAAACAATGAGAAAGGAAACATAAACACAGTTTATTTTTGAAGCTGTGAGGCATTGAAAATAAGGTTATATGCCTTTACTTTATCCATTTCTGCCTTTTTAGATGGAGCTGTTAGTCCTGAAATTGAAGCAATTTAAATATATTTACTTTTTGGTTTTCTGATTTTCCAAACCATTACTTGCACCAGGCTCTGAAATTTCAAATTAAATTTCAGTTTAAACTGGGGACTTACAACAGAGACACCTTTTTTCACAGTTCCCTCTGCATTCCCAAACACTCTGTTCTTTATCAATTTTTAATTAAACCTACAACAAATGTAATAATGAAACGTAGAGATGTTTTATAGCAGTTCAAATTATTCATTATGCAGCTCCATGAAATACATGTTTCCATGAACAGCTATTAATGCCCCTTCTCTTCCAGCTGTGGTAATTATTATCTACTAGTGGACCTTTCAAATAAGAAATTTGCACTAATGATGAAGGCAATTAGACCCTTTCACTCTTCCTCATGCAAGCAATCTTTTATATCTACTTTTATGGAAACAGTACCATGACTGAAACCACACATTTTTTAGACATGTGAAGATCATCAGATATGTTACACCCACAGCTGACTTCTTGCCTCATTAATGTTCCCAAGATGAATGGCTTTTAAAGATCATGTAAGGGTAATTGCAGATAAACAAGCAAAGAGAAAAAAAAGCAAGCCTTGGAAATAGTGAACTTGCACCGAAAAACATTTACCCTTAAATATTTTTGGAGTTTTTTCTGCCCTCCCCCAGCTGCTTTATTTTTGTCATTCCTTATATGGATGTTATATATCTATAACAAGAAAAAAACAAATGCAAGGAAATTTGTTGCTCAGTTTTATTTTAGCTTAATATCTTTTGTCCCTTTGCTTTAAGCTAATAGCTCAGCAAATTTCCAGCACCCGTTTGCTTTTATAGAATTATTTTTTTTATTCCATTACAGAGCAGGATTGAGATGGTTAATGGTGTTCTGATGATCCACAGTGTGAATGTCTCAGATGCTGGAATGTATCAGTGCTTAGCAGAAAATAAATATGGCACCATTTATGCCAGTGCTGAGCTGAAGATTTTAGGTGAGTATTATCAAAAAAGAACAGACTGTTTCTTTTTTCCCTTTGTTAATTTCATTTGTTCTTGGTCTGTTATGATAAGGAACAGCTTCTGCCAGTCCAAACTGAGCAGAGCAGATAAAAGTGGGTTCCTTTTTCTTCTTATTATTTATGTCTGAGTGGGTTGTTTGTTTCCCGAGAGAGCACAGGTCTTTCTCTTAACTGCAAATTTTCTTTTATAAATTACTGACTCAATTACATTTTGTGACTGTTTTTCATATAAAGCTCAAATACATGGAATAATATTTTTACTCTTTTAAAAATAAGTGCACAGAAGGAACTTAGAGAAAATAAATATATTTGAGTATCTCTGTTAAAATTAAATTTATATTTCTACCAAGGCCATTATTCAAAGGTAATTATGCATGATCTTAGTTTTAAAGGTGTAAAAATCTATGAAGTCACCAGAACTGACTGAATACTGGAAATTGCATACCTGAGCTGATATGATCCAATAGTAAAGCAAATACACTGTAGTGTTACCCAGAAAAACAATACAGATTTCATTATGCAAAAGTTGAAGTGAGGAGTTAATGAAGAACATCTTGAAGCATGCCTTTCCAACACTCTGGTTTTCCTTAAAGCAAACTGTGGTAACACACAATGGGACAAGAGTGGTAGGAGGACTTCTACGGGGTTAAGGGAGACAGACTTATAAGAGCCCCATCGTGTTTATTAGAGTATGGTATAGCTGGAAGACAGGTGTCTGTCAAAACAATTCAATGACCGTATCAGAGATTAGAGGTCTCTGCACTGTTCAATCCTTGCAAATTTCAAAAACTATTTCCTAGCTGATCAACATGAAAATTTCACTGAAAACTTCAAAATATTTCCGTCTTGCCATAAATTAAACCCCACAGTCAGTGGTTGCTCTCTTTCCATCACTTTCCCTTGTCATTTCTATTCAGTCAGCAAAGAGATCCTTGTTGGTTACAATGTTCTCGTGTTCTTTTTTTTCTACCTGTTATAAAACAAGTATACCTATTATATCAAGGAGTTGTATACTTTCTTTGATATTTTCTGATATTGGAAACAGCCATTATATGTTGCTGCAGTAAAATTGGCCTTTCGTTTTGTCACTTGTGAAATTGTACCCCTGTTAAATTTTGACCATAATATTTCATTAAAGAAGTAGTTGTGTTTAATTTTCTGGATTATTAAAGGTAAAAGTACAGAATAAATTGTCCATATAAGTAGCTTTGGTATGAAAATTACACAAAATAATGGTAAGAAATTCCCATATATTTGAGGCAATGGAGTGTAATATGTTCCTATAAGCGTAGCTGAGATAGTTGCATGGGGGGGGGTTGGTTTTGCAAAACTAATTTTAAAAAAACACAAACAAATGAGATTACTTGAGAACAACTGTCCTTTCTTGGTGAAAAATTAAAGTAATTAGTGTCATTTTGTGATACATTTATTACCTTAGCTGATGTGTTGTCATCTATGGGACTTCTTGAAAAATGAAATACTAAGAACAAGACATGGTTAAATATTTTCTATTAAGAACTTCTAATTTTTCATTTCCCTGTATTCAGACAAATGTAAAAAATTAAAGCAGTTAAATTTCTCTAACAGTAATACTGTTTGTAAGAATTAACTCTAGAGAGTGTATTTTGGATAGCTGTGGAATTTAAAGTTCTTTTCATTTTGAGCTAGTTGCTTCTAACAAGTTATTTATGAAATCCAAAAATTCTGGAAAACGTGTAGCTAAATCAACTGTAGAATTTAATTTCTAAAGCTGTTGGAGTTCACAATCGAACTTACTTTAGCATGCTGTTGTGAAGGACATCTCACTATTTCATAACTGGATTAAGTTATAGACCTGCCATCTAGTCTTGGCTGCTGAGTTCAAATATTTTGTAAAATTCCATCTAATTTGCAGTGTAATCATTTCCAAGCCAAAAATGAAGATTCTATCTCCAAAACCAAATCTATTATTTCAATCTTCTCTTAGAATGCAGTGAAACAGGAGGCTGCGATTGTTCTCTGTAGAGTTAACATACTTCTTTTTAACAGCTTCAGCTCCCACTTTCCCACTAAATCAAATGAGGAAAACAATAATTATTACGAAAGGCCAAGAAGTTGTCATTGAGTGCAAGCCACAAGCCTCTCCAAAGCCAACTATCACTTGGAAGAAAGGAGACAAAGTGTTACGGGAGAATAAGAGGTCAGAAACCTGTTTGGTAAACTAAATATTGCATTTGCATGTTTGATTCTGTGATATGATATGAAAATATAGCAAATGACAAGAGCATGCATATGTTAGCATGGGTATGGCATAATTATTTTGTCAAGCTGATTTGTCTGACAGTAGCGTCTTTATTGTTTCCACAATATTGAAATGAAAAATCTTAAATTTTTTGGAGATGCAGACAAGTGAAAAAAAAGGTGGTGGGGTTTTTTTTCTGCTACTAATTTCAAAAATGCTTCAGTTACACTGTAGAGGTACTACAAATTTAGTGCACGAGGGTATTAAAAGCATAGAGGCTGAAGTAGTCAGGACCTCATAAAATATCAAATGTGCTTATTCATTTGAAATAATTTTAATAAGGCAGATTTTCATCTTGATCACAATGGAAGTCTGTCTAAGAATAGTTTTGAAATTATTCAGAGAAGAATAATATTATTCCATTATAGGATTTAATTATACAAGTAATTTCTGTACCCAGCAGCACATTTGTTTAACAGAATATGTTTGATTAAATAAGTTCCGTCCAGTTCTCTATGTTAAACATATTTTAAGTGTTGCAGGTTAACCGCCAGCTGTAATTGCACTTTACAAGATTACATGTCTGTACACTAGAATAGTTTTGCCACCCTGCACATGATCTTTAAGCACACAGAGCAATCTTATCTTCTTTCTGCATGTGAACCAACCACTTAAACTGACTTGTATGGCATTAGTCAAAAGGGTAAAAGCAAGGGCTTTTTGTTCATTTGTGTAATACTGATGAAAGCAGTAGAGCACATCTGTCCTCGTTAACTGCAAAAGCCATTTCATTCAGGTGAGTTTTATTTTCATCTCATGCCATTTGTTTTGTTCTGAGAAGGAAACCTGGGTAATTTTTCATGCCGTATTGGGAGGGCAGAGCAAAACACCGTTATATACAACATTTTACTAACAGGTATGAGTTGTATAGTACATATTGACAAGATATGACAGGACGTTATTACAAAGATGCTTCTGATAATATCAAATGAGACTGATGCCTCTGTGCTGTAGCTACACAGTTAACTGTTGTCACCACATGACCTTTTCCTCTGATCTCCACAAAACTCACTCTCACTCTGATCACCACAAGTAAATCACATTTTAATCCAAGAGCAGTAAAGCGTTTTGTTAATCACTTGATGTCTGTCCAAACATCACTTAACTCTGAAGTTAAAATCTCATAAAAATAAGATCTGGAGCTACAGTTTTGATATTTGCAGCTTTTGATACTTGCTTATTTTGACAAAGGCTGGAATGGGAAATGATGAAACATGGAAGATAAAAAGCTGGTTGAACTATTTCAAGTCTTTGAAAGACTTGGGTTGTCTTCAACTTAATTTTTAGTCAGCTGTTCAGGGAGTATCTTGTGTCATTCAGAGCAGTTCCCCTGCATCTCCGTTTTATGGAGGGGTGGGAGTGAGGGGAATATCTGTTTCAAGGAAACTCAGTTCTGCCTCTACGTACAGTATGTTTTAAACACAGTAATAGAGATTGTTTGAAGAGGAGATGAGGAAGCCTATTGTGATTTTGGGAAAGGAATTTTAAATCAATGGAGGTAGTACATGTGTTTCCATGTTCTGGGCATACTGAGAAGGAACCATTGGAAGGGAACTGTGTAAAACATTTTTTAAAAAGAATAATCTGACATGATGAGCACATCTATATACTTTAAAAATGGACCTTCGTCATGGACTGCTGATAAAAATCCCAGCAAAAACCAATTAAGAACTGTCATGTAATGAGTTTCCATAGAATGTTAAACCATCAAAGATTTTTTTAAAAAAAGCATTCTGATTAAATAATAAGGAAGGGCAAGGGTAAAACAGCAGAACATATTTTTTTTCCTTTCTGCCACAGCTTATTCCTCTTCTAGAATTTTTGTAGCTACTGCATGTTGTGTTTTATTTTTGCCAAGTCTGCCAGCCGAGAAAAGGAAGTCTCTCCATTTAACCACATCTCTGAGAAAAGTCTCAATACAAAAGAGATCTTCCCTGCTACAGAGAAGAAATTCCACTTGACTAGTGGGTCTGCTGTCATATAGTCCACCTCTTCCAAGCTATGTTGCCTCCTTCAGTGTTCCTCTATACATCTAAAATATTCTTCTCATTAAACTTATATTGAATTTTCACTCTAGCTCATTATTTCCATTACATATACATTAATTACAGTTAAAATAAAATCATCCAAAAGCACTCTAGCAGTGCAAAGAGTTCTATTCAGTCCTTATTTTTTCTTCTCCATTCAGACCACCAAGAAATAAAAGATTAGCACAATTTAACTGAGAAATGAGTAACTGAGGATGTAGGATTTTTATAGTGCCAGTTTTATACTGGTTTATTTTGCTTTTATTCCTTTTCTTTTTGAAGCTTCTCAAATAATAATGTTTACTTTCTCAATGTTTCTTGCATATCTCAATTTGTGTGCAGATTAATATTTAATTTAAAAAAAATCCAAATCTATACATATGCATTGGTAATATAGTCCTGCATTTATTGACTGCTCCCTTTCCATATGGCACAGTCTAAGCTTTCTTCTTCACATGACAGAACAAGATTTGCAGAAAAACATTAATAGTCTTTGAAGGTCAGTTTCACAATAGATCACCATGAGTAGAACAACAGTGACGGTCTCTCTGTGGCCATTTTATAATTGTTCATATTCATCCACCTAGGATGGATGCCTGAGGACCTAAACTTATTAAACATTTGTGTGAGGAAAATAAATGGTAACAATATTCCCCCTGCCACTTCAATACAGCCACTTTTCCTATGGAGCAATTGGTTTCCTGCATTCCACTTCTGTTTGAACTAGTTCTGGATATAATGTGAAGAAAACTTTTGGCAGGTTAAGCAGCAGGGGGAATTTTAGATAGTTTGAATGCAATTGCATGGCATGGGTTTGGCCAGGACACAAACTTCAACATCCCTATTCCTGCAGTAAAGCCCATGGTTATTTTATTGATTGCAAGTGGGTAAAAACTTTTTATTCCATTTTCTCTGAGTGATATCAAGTACTCACAGAACAGCTGAGAGTGGCAGGGACCTCTGGATATCAACTGGCCCAACCCCCTTGATCAGAGCAGGGTCAGTTAGAACAGGTTGCTCAAGGTCATGTCCAGTCAGGTTTTGAGTATCTCCAAGGATGGAGACACTACAGCCCATCTGGGAAACTTGTTCCTATTCCAGTTAATCACCCCTACAGTGAAAAAGAAAGATATTCTTAAGTTTATTAAATAGAATTGATGTTTAAATGGAATTGCCTGTATTTCAGTTTGTACCCATTGCCTCTTGCCCTGTCACTGGGCACCAAGAAGAGTCTGGCTCTGTCTGCTTATTCCCTCCCATCAACGTGCACATCAGTTGACCAGTGTGTTGATCAGCTGGGAGGCTCTGATCTGTAATAAATATGGCTATATGATGAATTAATATCAACACTTCTTCCACGACACATGAAATCCTCCATTCAGATCTGCCCCAAACCGGCTTGGCCACCAAAATTCATAAAATGGAGATGTCACTTCATACAAAACCTGCCCACGTGTATTACCATGTAGCAAAGTTACTGTCTGCTTGACACGTTCTGCATTTACTGTGTGCCTCACCTGAGGTCGTTGGGACTCATCTGCACCCATAGAGAAGCCTATAGATGCTGTACATTGAATAATGAAGTACTGGTTAGTAATAGCGAGTGCTCTGACAGTCTTTAAATATCACAAATAAAATCAGTGGATACTGAAAATAAGGAGACATGAATATTTGTGAAGCTAACAGGCTTTAAAAATCTGAAGAAATATTAATGAGGAAATTCTGTTGTCTTAGTCATGTGCATATAAAATTTCAAACCACACATTGACCTATAAAGAACAGAAAAACATTAGACAGTACCCATTAAGTGAGAATCGTCATCTATAGGTACTAAATGAAGAATAAATCCACTGGAGGGGACAAAGTGTTCAAACTGTGTGTAACATAATAGGTGAAGGAGTGAATTGAGGCTGCTCAAATTTTGCATCATTTTGTGTTCTTTCAGTTATGTTGCTCTAACATTCAGCAGCTGTTAAAGAAGTCAGAGAAAAGAAAGAGAAGAAAGACTTCTCATATGGGGACATTAAATTCCAAATATTAATATAGGATTGCTACAGTCTTGCTAGAGAGAGACACAGGGAAGCCTGAGGCTGTTGCCTTTTACCTACCTCCAGGTTAATACTGAAATCTTTGAACTACAGCAGTAATTGTCCTGTATGCCTGGATATTTCATCTGTCACACTTGCTATGCAATTAGTGGAAATGCATAGAGCACTTAAATCTAAAAATATCATCATTCAAAAACTTAGAAATGGGCAAGTTTTTATATATTTCTGGTCTCTCAGACTCCTTCATTTTCAGTTTTGACAGGTTCTTATTACAGTTTTAGTCTTCAATCTACTCAAGGATCTGTCAGTGTTTCCATTGTAAGTTCCCGTTTTAATGGCTTTATAGATCAATTGCTATAAAAAAAAATCAAAGGAGAAAAGAAAAAGAAGGGTGTTTCAGACCAGAAACAAGAAAAAAATTATCTCAATTTAAAGGTGAAATTTGTATTCAATTTTATAAAGTGCTTTGGTTAGTACATGTTGTGTTATGTTTTTAAATATGAGCATGTATTTGTGTGTATCAGAGGTATATATTATATGCTTTCTTCCTAATCATGGTGGTAGCTTTCCAACAGAATTTCAGTTCCATCAAACTGTGGTATGTAACATTTGTTTAAACTGAAAACTGTGCACTGTGAAGGCAAAAGAAAGTATATATGTAAAATGGATGTAAAAGTACCCTGAACTGTAATTTTCAGTTTGTCTATTGGTCCCTAATTTGCACGAGGCTCAACTTGTATCTGGCACAAGTTTTTCTGCATCTGTGTGATACACAGTACAGCACAGTATCGCAGCCTACTGCCCTTCTACTTTTTGGTGAAAA